ATGCCAAGACCGCCTGTTCTTCCTAGTGGCTCGACTGATATGACAGGTGGTTATGTTGCGTGTTGGTAGGTGCCAATGGCGACACTGCACAGTCAAGTTAGACAGGTTCACAGTTCGTAGTGCCGCTTAGTGCAGTCCGCAATCCTTTTGTGCAGGCCCGAGACTTGCTGTGAACTTGTTTCGGACCTTCTCGCGTCAGTGCAATGCCTTCCGAGAAGCGTCCGCGCCCTCTAGTTCTCGATGCTTCTACAGAATCTGATGATTCTGATTCTGATGTCGTGATAGTTTCCACAGATCGCAGTGCTACAGCTTCGCTACTTGCACGAAATCCTCTTGCCTTGTCTGCTGCACCGACCGCAGTGTCTACGACTCTGCCCGTAGATCCCACTGCGGGTACAGACACGCTGCCAGCCAATAGCGACGAGCAGGGCGATGCAGATGCAGCTGGAGGCCCGCAGCCGCTGCAGGGCAGGGGCAGCGGCACGCTGTCAGGATCCAGTTCCGACTCTGATGAGTCATCTTCGCATTGGGATGCAGTGGCGTCTGCACGACGTGGCGGACACGGTGCCCTTCCAGTCTCAGCAGGTATGCCTACCGTGCCTGTGATGGGGTTTGTTGCCGGTGCGCCCGCTGATCCGGCGCCATCGCCACCTACAACAACCACTGCTGCGTGCGCCAGCGGCACTGTCAACATCAACTTGCACGTTCAAGCAGCTGTGACGCTTTCGACGGCTCCGGCAACTTTGCCTAGCACTGCCGTGGTCCACTCCACGTCTACTGCCTCTACTTCTGTCTGCACGGTGACTGTGCCACAGGCGCTGGCACGTACAGGTCGTTCTGAGGAGACTGCGCTATAGTTGCCAGTTGTGTCGGGTGACCTGCGCAGCATGGGAGTGAGCAGATCTGATGATATGCGGGAAAGCAGATCTGTGTTAGGAGTTATGATGTGATTCGATGGGCATGTTTCCGCTAGATGTCGGCTGAATCCGATTCTGATGTGCTTGCGGCTGCTGTTGAGAAATGTGAGATGTTAAATATCCAGAGTAGTGAAAACCAGAGCCGCAAGCGCAAAAAGTAATGCCAGTCAGCTTTTGGAGGTGTACATGCAGTTGTGGTGGCGAGTGCGACCGATCCAAAAGTACCGCCCACATGTACTGGACAAAAATCGTGCAGTCATGCATGGCCAGTATGTGTCCGCATGTTGTTGCCTGTGTTGTGTTGCCGCGCTGCAAATTGTCCCCAGGTGTTCTTCCGCTTCGTTTTCCAAGACAACAGCGAGGACTGCATCAAGCGTCGCTTCGTCAGACTCCAGCAGTTGGTCCGAGATGTGCTCATCGAGCTGCCGGCTTCTTCGGTGGAAGTGGAAAAACTTCACAGCAATGCTCTTGTTGACCAGGCCGTCGTGCGGAGCAACACCAAGAGGCCCTCCACTTGCCAGCTTGATCACTATATCATGAGCGTCACTCTCGAGCACCAAGCTGTCCAACAAGCCTCCCAAAGCCACTGTCTGGGCAAAGAGCGCGCGCGGTTTCTACGAGTTGCCAGAGCTAGTGCTCAAGCCTCCACGGGGCCTGAGCTGTCTTTGAAACGCAAGCGGTCAGCCTCCAGGACACGGTGGGCCCAAACAGTACACACTACACATTTTGAGTCTGTGTAAGTGTAAGAGTAAGAGTGTGTGTGAGCTCGAGGTGCCATGGTGCCAGTCGTAAGATGCCAAAGAAGATGAGACGGGTCAGTGCATTCAATGCTTTTCAGAGTCATCATCAGTCGCTCGGTTCACATGGTGGCGCTGGCAACAAAAGACCTGATAGGTTTCATGTCTGATTTGTATGAGTTTGAGAGATCGTTTCGTTTTGTCATCTCAGATCTACGATGGCTGGTGCTGGTTGTGTCGCCTCTGACAGCAATCGCACGCCGCGGGCTTCAATCGCCGAGCGCTGGAGGGCTTTGCCGGCGCATGAGAAATTCCGGTGGCAGAAGAAGGCAGACGAAGTCGAGGAAAGACGACGTTCGGTGGCAGCAGCTTCTTTCTCGGACCGGCGTGCGGTAGAGACGTCAAACTTGTCTCCTAGCCAGCTGAAGCGACTGTATGCACGGCGTTTGGGAAGCACGGTGCGGGAGCTTGCAGAACAGGATGTTTAGACACGTGGGCTCGGACTGCAAAATCATCACTCGCCGCTGCGTCCGGAGCTGGTGAGCGAGGAGCTCGACGTAGCAGGGTTGGCAGAATCCTTCCGAGAGACTTTTGGGTACGACGCAGAGATGCAGCGGAACCCAGTCAAACTGCCGACGTTCTGCCGCAGCTATCTGTGGGCTCACGGTGGGATCTGCGAAAAGCATCCCTGCTTTGGCCGGGTGGCGCAGCTCGTGCATCAGTTCGATTCCGGGCTGCAGAGCAAGCGCGTTGCGACGAGTCTGCTGATTGTCAATCTACAGGAGGAGCACACAGGGCAAACGCAGTGGTTTTTCCAGGGATGTGTTTGCAGACGACCGCTCCTACACGTGCTTGTGCGGCTTTGGCCGCGAGCTCCTGGGCGGTTGGCTATGTCGATGAAAGACGGTGTTCCAGTACTGTTGACATCGCATCAGATGTTCCTTTCCTGTGTCTGCTCCTACCTGTCCATTTTCCCAGACGATGCTACAGCATCCCAACTGCGTCCGCAGGCATGTGTCACACGGAGTCATATTCTAGGCTCTGGGGTTAGTCTCGGGCGCAAATTGTATATCGAGTCATATCGAACCGTATCATATCAGTGATTGCATCTTGGCCTTGCCTTGTCAGGCCGCCATCTACAAGTCTTTTTCATGTTCGCACGAAGAGGGCGATCTGGTGTTGCTGGCTGGCGAGGAGACGCACAACATCGACTTGAGTTCTCGTTGCAAGCGCGAGGCGGTTCCAAAACCCAAGACCATGCCAAGTTTGCCGTTTGGCCTATCGTCCCGCAGTTACAAATGGCAGAAGAAGGCTGGGCCCGAAGCTTCTGGCCACAGAGTAGCAGAGCAGCCCGCCAGCTCAAGTTCCGCAGGTCCCGTGCCCAGGCGGGCTTTCTTCAGTCCTGTTGTGTCTACAGTCTACAGTCTACAGGATCTGATTGATTGTCTAGTGCTGTCTGGTGTCTGGCGCGTGCTCGGTTCGCAGATGTTCGCAGGTATGACGAGTTCGAGTCAGACTTGCCCCCGGGAGCGGATGTGGAGTTTTCTCAAGCGTTGAAAGCGGAGGCTGCAGCATTCAAGGATGCAGAAGCAGCCCCTGCCTCCTCATCATCTGCTGGTGACAAACCTGAATCGCGCGAGGCTGTCGAGCAGGATAGCAAGCCTTCCAGTGCTGGCGGCGTTTCCGCAGCAGCTTCCGCTGCTGGCGCTGCCGGCCAGAATGGTGTCTTCTTTCAACGCAATCTGGGAGTGCTGGATATTGGGCCCAGCCCACGGAAGGGACTAATGTGCATGAATTGCGGTGGCAAGATTGAGAAAGGGGAATTGAAATTCAGCTTCGCGTACCGCTTGAACAAACCTCCTCGATCGATTCACGTGGCATGTGTGGCCCAGATTCAGAAGGATCTGGTTCAGCCGTGCATTGATTCCTTGCATCGGCTATTGATGAACCCGAAGGTTCAGGAATCTGAGCTGCTGAAGCCTGCTTGTACTCAAGCTTTGGGATTTCTCGAGGGGTAGATCTTCTGTAGTCGGTAATGTGGAGCCGAGTGAATTCGAGGAACACCTGTGTCCTGCGCGCTGCTTGCGGCGCCTAGAGACATTGCACACCTTTCGGCCTGTCATTGCATGGAAACTAGACAGACAGGTCAAACACGGTTGCAACGGGAGGCACAGATGGCAGACTACTTAGCACTTCGGTTTCCAGAGTACCGGTTTTCGTGTTAGAAGTAGTTAGACATTTAGGCGGCCCGGGTGACGCATGATTCATAAAATCACTATTATTAATTAATTAATTAATTAATTAATTAAATTAATTAGTTTAATAATAAGAATAAGAATAAGAATAAGAATAATAATAATTGTTGTTGTTAATAATACTATTGTTATTTATAACTGGGGTTCAAGGTGCTGGGGCTATGGGGCGTTTAAAGGTTTAGGATGTTGGCTTCGGGTTTAAGTCTGGTTAAATTTTACAGTGGTCCTTTAGGGTTACAGTCATGCCTTGGCAACCGTAGTTGTTTGCACGGGGAGCTTTGCAGCATCCGAAGGTCGTGAGAAGATGGGCAGAAAATGGTTTAGCTCAGAGTCTGCTTACATGTGCTTTTGCATTATCTGAGTATCTGCCTTTTCTCTGAAACAGTCAGAACCTGAATCAATTCTTTTGGCGCCTTTTGCACAGACGCCGCTTGACTTCATTCTGCGGGGGCATCTACGCGGGCGTCGAGATGAACCGGATGAGGCCATCGGCCTGTCTCTCATCGATGGATATCATGTACGTGTCTTCTCAATGAGGACGTCAGTCACCACGGATGCCCAAGAGCGAGAGATAGTTTCATCCATGTCCATGTCACAGGGGAGAGATCGAGAGAGAGAGAGAGAG